GACTCATTCTGACCTGCTTGATGACGAATGAACCGGAGGCATTAACTACAACATAGACGAAGTTAAGATTGCCATCACCAACTTCCTTAATCTTCAAATCATCGAACTTGTCCCCAAGCTTGGAGGCTAACGACGGCGTGGCTTTGATGTACTCCACTAGCAACTTCTCATCTAGCGGCCTGAACTCCGATAACGCCATCTTCTTCCTCTATCAACCGCGGCGGATAGAACTTTAATGGAACGAAGTAGGGATATTGGAGAGATGACGGCCGAATGTGAGACAATTTATTGAAACCAACTGGAATTGAGGAAAGCTGGAGCCGCTGGACTTGACTAATAGAATATGGAATTTTAGCCTGTAGCCGCCATTTCAGAACCTGCAGTTTTTGAGTTCTGTTGGTCGGAATAAAATATTGAACCTGGACGGTATCTTCGTACAATACAATGTAAGAATGACTTGATAAATGATCAAGGAAAAAGCAAGAAATGAATCGACAGGACAAACCAGTTCCGTCCATTTTCGATAAACTGCACGAAAAATTCCGAGACAAAATTTGTAATCAATGACATAAGAAAGAAAATGATTAGGTGTTTTTATTTTATTAAAATTGTAGTATTAAAATTATAATATTATATATATTGATTTATTTAATAAAATAATTTATATTACATCATTAATTTAAAATTTTTGTAATCTATATGCTACTCTTAGGAAAATAATTGTATGCATCAGTTAAACCTTTTTTATTTTAACAATGATTAAACAAACAACTTTTATAATATTAAAATTTGATTTAAGACTAATAATATGATATGAGTAATATCATTTAAAAATTTAAAATATATATTATATTGTTTAATAATTAATTATTTTAAAGATGTATAATATTATGTATATAGTTTTTAATTAATAACATAACTTATACTATATTATTAGTCTTAAATTTTCCTCATCATCCATATCACTACTCAATTTCTTTTTTCTTTTTTTTTTTTCCTGGTTAACCTTCCTGTCTTAAAAGCTATATACCTTAAAAGAACAAAACAGGATGCACTTTTAAGACATGTTTAAATTTTATATAAATTATTAACAGTTAATTTCATATAAATTACTCCTATCCAGGGTTGGGAATTTGTTGAATTTGATTGAAACTAAATTGAAATATCAATTAACTACAATTTTGGTAATTTATTTTTAACAACTAAATACGAAACGAAAATGAAGACCAAATTTTTTTTTTTTGTTACTTGTAGTTTAATTTTTCGGTTCTACCCTAAATTCCCACCCTCCCTCCTTTTAAATCAAATAAGTTTCGTTTAATCTCTTAATTTAATTGAGCGATATGATCTCCCTTCCCCTCGTCTCTCCTCTTAAACCACACAGCCTAACTAATCCTCTTTCCAAATG